TCCATAGTATTGTGCAATAAAGACCTATATTTTAGCTAAAGAAAAAGAAACGAGAAATACAAATTAAATAAATAATAAAAACCAAAGCAAAAAACAATAATACAGAAATTTGGACTTTTGGCAACAGTATATATTCACAGATAAATGTGTCTTAAACTACAGCATTTAATACACTTGGCAAGGATGGTTTTCTGTTATAAAAATTCATACGAGCACAAACAATTATTCAAACATACATAGGTATAAGCACAAAACAATAACAAAAAAAAACATATAACAATATAAAATGTATAATATATAAAATAGGTAATTCTTTAGTAAAAATATTCTTGTAATGGAAGACATGGCCTACATATACTTTTGGTATTAGATTTTTTTGAAGATTTTTGAGTCCTGTAAAATTTTACTTGATTTTCACATAGTTTTGTTCTAAGAATGAAGAATTTCCTATTTTTCCTAAAATATTCCAAATCAAATTATATCCATGTTTAACGGAATTATTATTTGTGTTGGGTTATAAATCCAGTCACAGAGTTTTATCCACAGCTCTGCTATTTTATGACATGTCCAAAATATGTGCTCAATATCTTCAATATCTTCAATAGCTACATTACAGAAAGTACATTTATCGCTTTGCTTTATCTTAATTCTAAAAATAACATTTGTGCTCAAGATTCTGTGTATTATTCTATACTGGAACCAACGAAGTTTTGTGGAGTAAAAAGCCATATTATGAACGTTTTTCCAAACGAAGTTTTGTGGAGTAAAAAGCCATATTATGAACATTTTTCCAAACGAAGTTTTGTGGAGTAAAAAGCCATATTATGAACGTTTTTCCTATCAAAGTGTTTGTTCAAACTTAAGGACCATCTATCTTCACAGCTATTAAAGTTTAGTATTATAAATATAATACATAATATTGAATATATTTCTAATAAACATACATCTCTTTGAGCCTTTTTAGAGAAAAGAAATATTCTTATATTATTTGGAAGTATTGGTCCTGGAGTTTTACAAAGATAGTCTATAGATATAATATTATCGAGAGATTTTTTATATGACTTTTTTGCAGAAATTACCCCATTTAAGTTAGAAAATTTACCTAAATGTTATGCACATTTTGGAATTGTTGAAAAGTTATTAGATCATGTATCAAAAAGATCCCTTCATCTGCCATATCTTTTATAGAAAATAGATGATGTTCCTGTTTTGATATTTTCATTATTCCAGAATGAGTTTGATACAAACTCGTTTTCATTTTTTGGTATAAGTTCATTTTGCAATTCTGTCCAAGTCTTAAAGACCTCTTTCCAAAAGGGGTTTTACATGTTTTTGTTGGGCCTAGATATACTAGGCTTTCAATATTTTTTCTTTGGTATTTTCTAATAGCTTATTTATTTTCTGGTTGCTTTTTAACAATAAAAGTCGAATCCATATTTATTTCAACTCCTTTATATATGTGCCAATATCTAGCACTTTCAGCCCTTCAAATTTATGTTCAAGACATAATATTTCTCTTTTTTATTTTTTTCAGGTTTGTTTTCCCAATTAAATGAATAAGTTCTATCAATTAGTTGTTTTATAAAAGTATTTTTGTATGGTGCTTGATATATTAAAAACAGTCAGTTTAATTGTGAAATAATCAGTGTCTTGATGATTGTTATTTTTCCAACTGGTGTTAATGTTTGTTTAGACCAAATTTTTATTACAGTATATTTTCAATATCTTTTTATTCTTGAAACATAGTTCAAAAATTCCATTTCATGCAAATAGACAGAAAAGTTTATACCTAGTAATTTAAACTTACTTGAACCCCATTCCAACCCCCACTTTCCACACATGGTGTCTCAGGTTAACTATAGTTCTTTTTGCCTATCCACACCACTTCCGTTTTGTACACGTTCATATGGAGACCAGACATTTCAGCATATTTTACAGTAAGCGAAGAGATTCATACAGAGATTTGGGAGAACTACCAAGTATTATAGGTGTCATCTGTGTATTGGGAAATGAATTAGTCTGTATCATCAATTTAATTACTTTAAGTTCTTTATTTATTTCTGGTAAAATTTCTAGAATTTCATCGCATAAAAGAAAGATGTAAGGTGATAAAGGATGTATGATCTTCGTTTCAATTATCAAAAGGATCCATGATCTTTGTTTTATTATCAAAAAGATCCATGATCTTTGCTTTAATCATCAAAAGGACTATATATAGCATTGCACCTAGAGTTTTTTGTTATAAGATTAAAATGCCACTGGAGATTCAAGTTATGAGAATTATCACATATCATCAATCCCTAAAAGTTTTGTAACATTTTGCCTTATTGTTTAGAGGTCATTGTTTTTAAATGTCAAATTAAGATGAAAGAGTTCCCTGTAGGTTATTTGTTCATTTGATCAGAACCTTTAATCACCAAAAGGACTATATATAGCATTGCACCTAGAGTTTTTTGTTATAAGATTAAAATGCCACTGGAGATTCAGGTTATGAGAATTATCACCTATCATCAATCCCTAAAAATTTAGTAACATTTTGCCTTATTGTTTAGAGGTCATTGTTTTAAATGTCAAATTAAGATGAAAGAGTTCCCTGTAGGTTATTTGTTCATTTGATCAGAACCAAATGAGAATTTGTAATGGACCTTCTGTACAGTATTTCTGCCAAGTTTGTTTGAACCTTTCTTAGTAGTTTCAGACTTTGAGGGAAGATATTATAAGTGCTTTTCCAAAAATAAAAATGTGTGCCAACATTGCTGCCATGATTTTCACTGGATCAACATTCACTTGTTCTGTTGATTGATAGCGTTTGATTTTGTCAGTTTTTATGGACTTCCCTTTTTTGAATTAGCCTTGGAGTTCAGTACTTTTGATACACTTTTTACCCCACATTTCATGAGGACCATTTGTACAGAGCTGTCCAATCATCAATTCCCTTAAGTTTCAAAATATTTCAAGTGTAGTTTTTTAAACTTTCTAATGAGAATCAACATCTGTTTGTTGTTTCTTCCTATCCTCATTCTCTTGATTCTACAGCTGAGAACATTTACAAAGATTGGTTTATAAGGATCAAAAAATAAAAAATAAGGTTTTGTAAGAAGGACTTTCCGTATATTTTTCCTGCCAATTTTGATGAAACTGACTTGGTTATTTCAGAAACATGAAAATGTAAATTGTCTAAAGACAGACTTTTTTATGTGATGACTATAGCTTATTATGCCCTATATATGTTCCCCATGAAGATCAACTAATAAACTGTTAACACAGTGATAAACTGTATGTCTCGCCTGTATATAATTTTTATAGTATAATGCAAACAAGAATGTGTCCACAGTACACGGATGCCCCACTCGCACTAACATTTTCTATGTTCAGTGGACCGTGAAATTGGGGTCAAAACTCTAATTTGGCATTAAAATTAAAAAGATCATATCATAGGGAACATGTGTACTAAGTTTCAAGTTGATTGGACTTCAACTTCATCAAAAACTTCCTTGACCAAAAACTTTAACCTAAAGTGGGACAGACAGACGGACGGACAGACGCACAGACTGAAAAACATAATGCCCCTTGGTGGGGCATTAAAATGAAATTGAAATACGGCAACACTTAAATATTTAAATTATGCATAACTTGTATAGTCAATGGATTATGACTGAGGGTGTTTGGTCATAAAATCTTCATGGAAATGATGTGTTCCAATGCTTATACAACTGAACTGCATCCCAAATATCAATCACTTACCTTAATTGGTTCCCTTTAAACAAACCTCATCATGTAAACCAATGCAAAAGTTTCAAATTCAATAGACCATGACTAAGGGGTCATGGCCTAAAAATCCATGAGATCTGTCAATGCTAATACAACTTAACACCACATATCATTGATTTACTATTAGATGTTCCCCTAAGACTAACCTAATCACAAAGTTCAACAATTTTTTTATGTTTCTGTTGTCAGAAATAGCACAAAAAAGTCTTGCTTCCGCAACATTTTTGCAGGCATGAGATACATTCCAAATGACTAATATCATTTTACAGTCTGACAAGCTTCAGCTTTAGAATTTGGTAGAACAATAAATCCAAATGATTGTGGTGGGAATGTTACATTTCCTGTCCTTATCACAGGGATCAACACATTTGGTAATGTGAAATCTTCATTCAGCTTTAAATGTCTCCCATTCAGTGTTACTGCCCTGAAAATTAAAGAAATAAGACTATTTTACCTAAGTAAACCAATATTCAAATGACTTAATATGAAATCAATTCCAAATTTCAAGATATATTTGAAATCCTTTCGCAGTGATGGTTCATTGTAGGAAACATAAGAACCTTTTGGATGTTGCACCATATTATATACTTTTCATCTGCGATGACTGCTACATACAGTGTTCTTGCCTCAATTATAAAGAACAGACATGTTGGGCTCCTTTTGTATATAATGCATATAAAAAACTATTTTGTATAGCCTTTTTTTCCCACTCATCATATTTTTCCTGAATAGTCTAATCTTTTTTTTGTTTTCAGCAATTAGCTTTGTCTCTTCCACTTCTGTGTGAATTTTCTTTTTTTATCTTTTGTACCGGTAGTTAATATTCTGTGAGAATTTTTTTTATCTTTTGTAGTTAATATTCAACACTTCATTAGAAAATTATGGAATTTCTCACACTTATCTAAAGAATGAAGAAAAAAATATAATAACATTTCAGGATATATCATGTATATAGATATAAGAAGATGTGGTATGAGTGCCAATTAGACAACTCTCCATCCAAGTCAAAATTTATAAAAGTAAACCATTATAAGTCAAAGTACGGTCTTCAACATGGAGCCTCGGCTCACACCGAACAGCAAGCTATAAAGGGCCCCAAAAATGACTAGTGTAAAACAATTCAAACGGGAAAACCAATGGTCTAATCTATATAAAAAACGAGAAACAAGAAACACTTATGAACCACATCAACAAACAACAACTACTGAACATCAGATATGTATATTTACTGTGATTTTAAGCTCTCCTGGGGTTGTAATACATATACATGCAGTGTAACATCATCTCCATATTGTGAGAAATTTATTGTTTTAAAGCTGTTACCAAGATTCATTCCATATACTGTTATACTTCCAGCAGTATAATTAGACCTGAAAAATATATTATACAATTATATCCTATTGTCATAGTCAATGTAAGTTTTTATCGACCTGATTAAAGTATATTGACTGAGGGTGCAGACCTTAGTCAATATACTTTAATAAGACAATAATAAAAATAGTATTGACCGATATGAAAAGGCTACATCTGTTTTATCATAATATTATGTTATTTAAAAGTTGTGACCTTTCATAGGTCATGCTCCACGGGTATTGCTACGATATACAATGTCTCCTACTGGCTGTAATGTTTACCACAGGTGTTTTTTAATTTATATAGGACTATCCCTAGCATTTAGTTTTTACTGATGAAAGAAAAAATGCTTAACCAGAACAAAACTCAAACTTGATCTCTATCTTTTTATGCTAGAATTCTATACAAAATATCTAATCATTTCAAATTCAAACTCTACATGTAAATTCTTATGATATGACTGTTTACCAAATTCCTTTTCAATTGAATAAGGCATTACTTAATAAAGTGCAGAAAACTGAGATTTTCAAGAAATTAGGCCACAACTTTAGCAAAAATTACTCACCCAAACAAAACTCAAAAAAGATATGTAACTTCTCATTGAATAAGTTAATAATATTGGTGGTTATAATGATGTCTTCAAATGGCAGGTAAATGTAATTTTCTTTGCTACGAGTGGACTATATATCAAGTATTTAACCAATAGATAGTATTCCAGTGATGCTTTGGAAATCATGTAAAATAAGGTTAAAATCATAATTAATAGTATTAGATATTAGACATGTTAGATATTATAATGATATCTAAGATAATAACAAAAAACTGCAAAATTTTTGTAAAATGACTATCTCAGGGTCAGTAACCCAACAACGGGTCGTCGGATTTGTCTGAAAATTTCAGGGCAGATAAATCTAAATCTGATGAACAATTTTGCCACCTGTCAGATTTGCTCTAAATGCTTTAGTTTCAGAGATATAAACCAAAAACTGCATTTTACCCCTATGTTCTATTTTTAGCCATGGCGGCCATCTTGGTTGGTTGGCGGGGTCATTGGACAAATTTTTTAAACTAGAAACCCTAATAATGATTATGGCCAAGTATAGTTAAATTTGTATCAGTAGTTTCAGAGAAGAAGATTTTTGTAAAAGATTACAAAAATTTACAAAAAATTGTTAAAAATTGATTATTAAGGGCAATAACTCCTAAAGGGGTCGACTGACAATTTTGGTCATGACAACTTATTTGTAGATCTTACTTTGCTGAACATTATTACTGTTTACAGTTTATCTCTATCTATAATAATATTCAAGATAATAACCAAAAACTGAAAAATTTCCTTAAAATTACCAATTCAGGGGCAGCAACCCAACAACAGGTTGTCAGATTTGTCTGAAAATTTCAGGGCAGATAGATCTTGACCTGATAATCAGTTTTACTCCATGTCAGATTTCCTCTAAATGCTTTGGTTTTAGAGATATAAGCCAAAATCTACATTTTACCCCTATGTTCTATTTTTAGCCATGGCGGCCATCTTGGTTGGTTGGCGGGGTCATCGGACACATTTTTTAAACTAGATACCCTAATGATGATTGTGGCCAAGTTTGGTTAAATTTGGCCCAGTGGTTTCAGAGGAGAAGATTTTTGTAAAAAGCTAACGAAGACGGACAACGACGACGACGGACGACGGACGCCAAGTGATGAGAAAAGCTCAATTGACCCTTCGGGTCAGGTGAGCTAAAAAGAGTGCAAATAAACTATAATTAAAAAATCCTTTAACAGGAACAAAAAATAATCAAACTGCAAGTTTAAGATGACCGTAGCACTGTTTAAGGGTAATTCTTTTTCTAGTTGCTAAAAAATGTTACATCTGTGCATTAAGAACATAGATAAGGGTGTTGATTTTCATAGTGAATACTGGTACATGTGTGTGATTCATTCGTCATAGTGAATGCTTGTACCTGCTGGTGATTTATACGAGAAATCTTTATGTATAGCTTATACATATACCTATTGAATGAGAAGGTTGAAAATAAGATATTTTCTATCATCTAAAACTATCAGCAATCACCCTGTTTCACAGTGATTCACTCAAGATAACCAATTGAAATATGTAACTGAATCAGATTGTGTGTAGTATATAATTAGTTATTATACCAACCTTTTTACATTAGTACAATGGGAGTACATTCTAACCAAGCCTTCTGGATCATCAACTGAAACATTCAGCACTGATCTCCCGACTAAAGTTTTATATATATATGATAACCAATAATCCTACAAAATACAGAAAGTGTTTGTTTTATATTGTTTTAAATCTATTATAACTCCTTAAAGTTCCATGGCAATTGTTATATGTATATCTATTGGTGCTGATATATATCACTCATCTTAAGTAGCATTCAAAACAAAGATGAACTTAAGATATCTATATAATAAATTATGTACTGAAAATATCAGATCATAAAGTTTTCAAGAGGAACTTACCCAAATCTAGGTAATCGCTCAGTTTTAAACTAAATAATATCATAAATCAGGCCATTGGTTTTCTTTTTTGTATGTTTTACATTTTGTCAAACGGAATCATTCTATAGCCTACTTTATAGTATGGTTTTTGCTCATTGTTGAAGACCTTTAGTTGCTTAAATCCATATCCTTTGATCTAATCATCTCTGGTATCCAGTTCATTTACAATGATACCCCATCTCCAAATTTTCATATTGGCTTCTGAAGGTAGATTGAGGGAATTTGGTGAAGAATTGCTATGTATATATGTAAATTTTCTGATTTTTTTAATATCTTTAGCTTCTTAAAATGGATTACGGTCAAAGATCAAAAGTTTCATACCTATGTCACCTGTATTACTACGGTAGCAAGCACTTTTAAATAACATATCACATCATCAATAAGGACATACTGACTTCATAGATATTCTGTCTAAGGTTTCTATGGTAACAAGTACTTACAGGTAATGGATCACTAGTTTTGTCATCAATTATGGAATAATGACCACCATAAAAAGTTTGTCTGATTAAAACATCTAATCCACCCACTGCTGATATTCCTAGTTTATCTAACCACCTAATTGGAAAATATATGTGCATTGGATTAAAACATATAACAATTTATGATTTAAAATAGTTAACTATCATAACATCCATTAATGTAGTACAACAATCAAAATAAGCTGAGCTTGGATAAATAAAAACATATTCTAAAGTTTATAACAAACTCTATTCTAAAACATTGAGGATCATTGTAGTCAAAACACTGACTTCCAAGTTTTGAACAATTAACATTGAATTCATTTTCAGCAGCACCTGCATATAAACTACACATTTGACAATTAAATCAATACCCAATAGCATAATAATTAAATAAATGTAGAATGTGTCCATGGGACACAGATGATGCCCCTGCTTGCATATAACGTTACAAAGGGACATAACTAGAGAACTGTAAAAGTGACGCCACCCAAATTTGAACCTGATCTGTGTTTTATGGTAATATGCATTGTATATAAGTTTCATAACATTTGGTTGAGGCAAACTAAAGTTAGAGAACAGAAACCAATTTTGGGAAGTTCGTCCAGACGAACAGATGTATGGACAGATGGACATACGGACAAGGGTAAATTTAATGCCCTAGTCGCTAGATAAAAATCTCCTGAATATAGGGTTGTTTTGAAAAGAAAGTGCTTGACAATCCTTAGCACCTCCATAATAAGCAGACTATAGTTCCTCAACAATGTTAAGTATGAGCCAAATAACACTTGAATGAATTATCCAATTTTCTCAAATGGGTCAATATCCTTAATGTGCCTCAAAACGATGAACACAATTCCATTATGCAAACTAAAAATCTCTGTGCAATGACATTGTACATGGTGCTATTTTTAACAATTGACTGAGCTGAACTACTCAAGATGTTTTGAAGACCAGAAGACCATACAATAATGATGCAAAACTTATAGAGTTATTGAATGTGTGTAAATAATTGAATTTCTCTAATTTTTTCACATTTCCCAACCGATTCCGAAAAAAATGTTCTCCTGACTAGTGAAATAGCTGTTCTCTGCAAATGATTGGTGGAAATTTAATTATGACGTCAAATTTTCTTGGTTTCTTCTGAAAGGAGACTATGGCTGATGACGTCACATGTAAAGAACACAACTTTCTACAAATCTTTGAAAAGGAAGGATAAAAATTATTAGAAAAACAGATTCCACCATTATAACTCGTGTATTACGATATTTCTCCACTCTCAACAGTTAAATTTTAATTATTTAAAAAGCTCGGCAAGCCTTGCGCTTTAAATATTAAAATTTAACTGTCTCGAGTGGAGAAATATCGTAACACACTTGTTGCAGTGGTGGAATCTATATTTCCATAATCACACTTGTTCACTGAAAAATTAACCACATCTGTGAAAAAGTCTCAGTTTCTAAACAAGCCATCATCTAAGTTTACGATATGACAGAGGAATTGGTGAGAAGACTACTATCATAGTCTACCTGAAATTAAATGTGCATATTGACCTAAATGACTTGCAACATAAAACCAAAACAATGTAATTCCAGTTATCATATGAATTTATAATTATCAAGAAAATTTGTAATTATTGGTATTTATGTTTACCAATCCCACAAAGACCAATGGTCAAAGAGGTAAATACCTATACAAGCCATCATACAGCCTTCATGGTCATGAATGTAAATACCTATACAAGCCATCATACAGCCTTCATGGACAAGGATGTAAATACCTATACAAGCCATCATACAGCCTTCATGGTCATGGAGGTAAATACCTGTACAAGACATCATACAGCCTTCATGGTCAAGTGGGAAAATACCTATACAAGCCATCATACAGCCTTCATGGTCAAGGATGTAAATACCTATACAAGCCATCATACAGCCTTCATGGTCAAGGATGTAAATACCTATACAAGCCATCATACAGCCTTCATGGTCAAGGATGTACATACCTATACAAGTAGCCTTCATGGTCAAGAATGTGAATACCTATACAAGCCATCATACAGCCTCCATGGTCAAGGATGTACATACCTATACAAGTAGCCTTCATGGTCAAGAATGTGAATACCTATACAAGCCATCATGCATCCTTCATGGCCATGGTCAAGGATGTAAATACTTATACAAGCCATCATACAGCCTTCATGGTCAAGGATGTAAATACCTATACAAGCCATCATACAGCCTTCATGGACAAGGATGTAAATACCTATACAAGCCATCATACAGCCTTCATGGTCAAGGATGTAAATACCTATACAAGCCATCATACAGCCTTCATGGTCAAGGATGTACATACCTATACAAGTAGCCTTCATGGTCAAGAATGTGAATACCTATACAAGCCATCATACAGCCTTCATGGTCAAGGATGTACATACCTATACAAGTAGCCTTCATGGTCAAGAATGTGAATACCTATACAAGCCATCATGCATCCTTCATGGCCATGGTCAAGGATGTAAATACTTATACAAGCCATCATACAGCCTTCATGGTCAAGGATGTAAATATCTATACAAGCCATCATACAGCCTTCATGGTCAAGGATGTAAATACCTATACAAGCCATCATACAGCCTTCATGGTCAAGGATGTACATACCTATACAAGTAGCCTTCATGGTCAAGAATGTGAATACCTATACAAGCCATCATGCATCCTTCATGGCCATGGTCAAGGATGTAAATACTTATACAAGCCATCATACAGCCTTCATGGTCAAGGATGTAAATACCTATACAAGCCATCATACAGCCTTCATGGTCAAGGATTTACATACCTATACAAGTAGCCTTCATGGTCAAGAATGTGAATACCTATACAAGCCATCATACAGCCTTCATGGTCAAGGACGTAATCAAAGAGCTGAAAGCTCTGAGGAAAAATGACGCCACTGTCTCTAATATTGTGATATTTTTTATGCAAGTCTTGATTTTCACATACCGTAATAAGTTTAACATTGCAACATGTCTCGTAAGCATATAATTGATATTCGTATATGTGTCTGTTTTTTTCAGTACAAATGAATAGGTCAAGACTACCTGAATGATCTACAGTATCCAATTACTACTGGCTGTTTTTTTTGTATAAATAAATAGGTCAAGACTACCGGAATGATCTACAATATCCAATGACTACTGGCTGTTCTTTTGTACTAATAACTAGAGGCTCTCAAGAGCCTGTGTCGCTCACCTGACTCTACTTTGGTTTTAGAAATCATGTAAAGATAGATAAAAATCATAACAGATACCCAAATAATGATTGAGGCCAAATTTTGATTAATATTGGTCCCATTATTTAATAAAATATCCTGGTGGCCATCTTGAACAGTAAATCGGCAACAAAGTAGCAACACTTGGTCAGCACTTCATAAGGAACATTCATGCCATGTTTGGTTTCATTCCATTCAGTGGTACTCTAAAAGAAGACATTTGTATGTATTTCCCATAGGGTCCTATGTTAAACTAAGCCCCCCCCCCCCCCCTAGCGGCCATCTTGGATGATGGATCGACTGCAAAGTAACAACACTTGGTCAGCAACTCATAAGGAACATTCATGTCATGTTTGGTTCAAATCCATTCAGTGGTTCTCTAAAAGAAGACAATTGAATGTATTTCCCATAGGGTCCTATGTTAAACTAAGTCCCCCGCTGTCGGCCATCTTGGATGATGGATCGGCTGCAAAGTAACAACACTTGGTCAACATCTCATAAGGAACATTCATGCCATGTTTGGTTCCGTTCCATTTTTTGGTTCTCTAAAAGAAGACATTTTTATGTATTTTCCAAAGGGTCCTATGTTAAACTAAGTCCCCGGCTGGCGGCCATCTTGGATGATGGATCGGCTACAAAGTAACAGCACTTGGTCAGCATTTCATAAGGAAGATTCATGCCATGTTTGGTTTCATTCCATTCAGTGGTTCTCTAAAAGAAGACATTTGTATGTATTTCCCATAGGTCCTTTGTTAAACTAAGTCCCCTGCTGTAGGCCATCTTGGATGATGGACAGACTGCAAAGTAACAACACTTGGTCAGCACCTCATAAGGAACATTCATGCCATGTTTGGTTTCATTCCATTCAGTGGTTCTCTAAAAGAAGACATTTGTATGTATTTCCCATAGGGTCCTATGTTAAACTAAGTCCCCCGCTGGCTGCCATCTTGGATGATGGATCGGCTACAAAGTAACAACACTTGGTCAGCACCTCATGAGGAACATTCATGCCATGTTTGGTTTCATTCCATTCAGTGGTTCTTTAAAAGAAGACATTTGTATGTATTTCCCATAGGGTCCTATGTTAAACTAAGTCCCCCGCTGGCGGCCATCTTGGATGATGGACCGACTGCAAAGTAGCAACACTTGGTCAGCATCTCCTAAGGAACATTCATGCCATGTTTGGTTCCATTCCATTCAGTGGTTCTCTAAAAGAAGACATTTTTATGTATTTCCCATAGGGTCCTATGTTAAACTAAGTCCCCCGCTGGAGGCCATCTTGGATGATGGATCGGCTACAAAGTAACAACACTTGGTCAGCACCTCATAAGGAACATTCATGCCATGTTTGGTTTCATTCCATTCAGTGGTTCTCTAAAAGAAGACATTTGTATGTATTTCCCATAGGGTCCTATGTTAAACTAAGTTCCCTGATGGCGGCCATCTTGGATGATGGATCGGCTACAAAGTAACAACACATGGTCAGCACCTCATAAGGAACATTCATGCCATGTTTGGTTTTATTCCATTCAGTGGTTCTCTAAAAGAAGTCATTTGTATGCATTTCCCATAGGGTCCTATGTTAAACTAAGTCCCCCGCTGGCGGCCATCTTGGATGATGGATCGGCTACAAAGTAACAACACTTGGTCAGCACCTCATAAGGAACATTCATGCCATGTTTGGTTTTATTCCATTCAGTGGTTCTCTAAAAGAAGTCATTTGTATGCATTTCCCATAGGGTCCTATGTTAAACTAAGTCCCCCGCTGGCGGCCATCTTGGATGATGGATCGGCTACAAAGTAACAACACTTGGTCAGCACCTCATAAGGAACATTCATGCCATGTTTGGTTTCATTCCATTCAGTGGTTCTCTAGAAGAAGTTCAAAATGTAAAAAGTTAACAACGACGGACGACGCCGGACGACGCCGGACGACGACGGACGACGGACGACGGACGCCAAGTGATGAGAAAAGCTCACTTGGCCCTTCGGGCCAGGTGAGCTAAAAAGGTCAAGACTATTTGAATGATGATCTACAATATCCAATGACAACTGGCTGTTCTTTTGTACATATAAATAAAGACTACCTGAATGATCTAAAGTATTCTAAGTAATGTGATTTTTTTCTTGCAATTACATTTTTCTAAATCAAGAATATAGACTACTAGTATCCTTTTCAAACCAAATGATTATGAAGAGCCTGTTGTTAGCAAGCTCTTATACCCCACATACTCATTAAATAAGTTACTAGTGACCTAGTTATTTCTGTTACTTGAAGCAAATTATATTTCTGTATATTTAGACAATAGTATAATATTGTTTTACTAGTTTTATTTCACCTTGAAGATTAGACAAATAGGGATACTCCTTCGATTTTTTATTTCATGTCAGTCAGGTCGCTTTATATGAAACTTGAAACCACTACTCTGCCATATTGTTATTTTATAATAACTCTGCCCTTGACCATGTTGACCCATGTAATTGATATTCATTCTTTAACCATATATCATAGTCAGTTAGTTTTTGATTTTGCACTCCCACATCACCTTTCATGTCTTTCAGGTCAAATGTCTGTCTCCATTTAAGTTAATGGCATTGAACAATCATGGTACTAAACACAATTTCAATAGTGATAATGCTGTTCTCGTGGGTCACCATATATTCAACTTGGGTAGCATTCCAGTTATTGAAATTTGTGTCAGATTAGAACAATGATCTAGATCTTTAGGAATGGATCTTATAATTTAATATGGAGCCATAGTATGGGACCCCTACACGGTAACAAAAAAAAAAACAAGCTTGAAAGGATACAATGTCAAGCGGCAAAATCTATCACCAGAGATTACAAGTCAAAAGAGGATGGACGGGATACATCTCTAAAATGCTTGCTGAACTGGAACTACAGCAAGATCTCCAGACAAGACGAACAAAGCGTTGAAGCCAGAAGTTAATTTTTATGTAAAAAGTAGTTGAGGTGCTGATTCCTGCTATTGAACCATACTGTCATTCTATAATATCATTGAGTAAGTATTTCTATATTGGCCTTGTTATTGGTCCATGTCTTGGGTGTATTGGTCTGAGGCGAAGCGGAAGGCCAATACTGCTGGCCGAGGACCAATAATAAGGCCAATACAGAAATACACGTAATAGTATCTTTATTAATTAACTACAGTGTTACAATATTTTTTTTATTTCATTTCACAAGAGATAAACATTTTTACCTTGAAGTGGAACTATCCAAATCTCAGTTTCCTTTTATAAGATGCAATATCTAATGATTCGGTGCCGTTTGAAGTATCTTCAGCCTTTTCTCATCTGATGAATTTTTCTACCCTTTCCAGTCACTATAAAGTGTTACAACTTTAATTTAGACACAACACATAAATAGTAATTGGAAAGGTACTGCCATTGCATGTGTAATGCAAATATATTTTTAAAAAAAATAATGTAAGAGTTGAAATTGATACAACTATCCATAAGCCAATTGATCAAAGAACGAAGATTTGCACAATTACAGAATGCATATGCCTGGTTCGGGTTTAAAAATAAACGACCGTTCAAATACAAAACATGAGAAGCGACAGTAAACAGTAAAAATCGATTTGTACCATCCACATGATGAAATCATGAGGTCGTCAAGAAATGAACTTTGTGATAATTTACTCGTTCCCCAAACCTGAAATAATCCCATCGTCTACTTTCAAAATGCTTTTTAAATGAATGGGACCGTCTTTAACCTAAAATATATGCCATACTGAACGTTTCAGCTTGTTTATGGTGAGTAAACCTGCGTCTTACAAACAACTGTTTACTTTCAGTTTGAGTTTATCGTGACTTACGATCTAAAAACTAGAGACGTTCCGAAATCCTGTTTTGTAAACAAAGATTCATACGCACCGCGTGGGTATAACCGTATTACTAATTTCCGATTTGTAAAATCTTCGTAAATCTGGATAAAGACCAGTTTCTATCCAATAGATATCAAAATGATTCCGATTTTCACTTTTTTTAATGATTGTAAAGTTGAAATGACATGAAAGGCTGACATTATTTAGGAGAACTATTTTGTCTAGCGATTGCTGATCATTGGAGGGTAAAAAGTCCAACACCATAACAAAACGGATCTATTTATCATGTATACATACCGATTGTTTACAATTGTAAGACATGTGCATAAAAGTGAAAGCTCGAATAAATATGAAAAATATAACAAAGGGATAGCTCCAAATAGCATTTTATAACAAAAAACATATGGACAGGTCAAGATATCTTTTTGGTAAATAAAATAAAGTATGTAAACTGGTTCCAGTCCGACTACAACACTTTGTTCGAGTGTAGCGTAATACAAGCAGATTCCAGTTAGTATGTAAAATAGTAAATATGAAACTGAGTGCGTGTAAGGATGTAAGGATGTAAATACCTAAACAAGCCATCATACAGCCTTCATGGTCAAGAATGTAAATACCTATACAAGCCATCATACAGCCTTCATAGACAAGAATGTAATTACCTATACAAGACATCATACAGCCTTCATAGACAAGAATGTAATTACCTATACAAGCCATCATACAGCCTTCATGGTCAAGGATGTAAATACCTATACAAGCCATCATACAGCCTTCATGGACAAGGATGTAAATACCTTTACATGTCATCATACAGCCTTTATGGTCAAGGATGTAAATACCTATACAAGCCATCATTCAGCCTTCATCCAGGTTTCTTCATGTAAAACTGTACATGTCTTGTTCTAAATCTCACCAACATGAAGCAATTGGGCACCATTACTTACATAAAACCTGCCACATAGGTATCAGACAGTCCTGGAGCACCTCCTCCGTAAGCTGATCCTGTTTCACCGAGCCATGTTTTCCCAAATGGAGGATGTTTTGCTATTTCATTGCCTTTATTTATCTCAGGCATTAAACTATTCAAGATGTCAATATCCATGAACTGGTCAATTGTAGCTTCTCTTCCATTTATATAATAGCTGTTTAAAAAAAAAAAAAAATACAGCACGCATAAAGAACAACCCATTGTAGTTGGGATAAATTTGGGATAAATTCAATATCTTGTTTTTTTAAATGTCTAAAATACTGACAGCCTTGGATTGAACCAACAAGATTCAAAACATAGATATTAACTGTATCATAAATTAAAAGATCAAAAGAAATTTTTCCTTCATAACACAATGGTAAATGATATGTTTAGTATATATATAGATCGGAAAGAAAGTGTATTTGCTTTTTTTTTTTGTGAGTGTGGTATTTATTGCTATTCATTTGTTTTGATTTGGTTTTATTTTTTAAAGTTAAAGTTGTTTGTTTTCAAAATCATTTTCATTACATTTTCACAAGATAAGTAAAATAAAACTTACTGATGAAATGTTGGATTTGTAACAATATCTGGTCCTCCCGTTTGTAAAAATCTGAAAAAGCAATATTTTAAAATCATTTCTATGAATTAAACAAAATGTAATAGTAATTTTAAATGTACATGTCTAATAAGCAGAGTTCATATTAATTTCATATTCACCATGTTCACATGTTCTCATTCTGATATCCATGTAATATTTGCCACTGGATGTTGTACACAATTCAACCATCATTTACTGTCAATATGAGGGTTTCATAATTTTATTGAACAGATAATCAATCTCATTATTGTGATTTTCACTCTGTTGCTTATGAATTTCAAAACAGCTTTGAGGAAGGAATTATTTTATCTTCAAACACATTGTTCTTTATCATTACATCAATAACATACTCTGTGAAATATTTCTCAGCTGATGTCTTTGATAGCTGGGTGGTACTAGGGCCTATTATGACACTTTTTCTCCACTGTGGGTACTGGTTTAACAGACTGTGAAGTTTGCTGTAGTCCTTAGCTCTCTGTGAACCAGATATGGAATATCCTACATGGTGTTTGTATGAGTTAGGCTCTACAAAGATATCAAGAAACAGTATACATATTTTGGACACATATGCTGGATGTTTAATTGCTTGATTTTAATTCATTTCTAATTTATGTAATTCCTTGTAGATCCATTTTCTAAATTAAGGTCAATTCCATTTATAGTGAGGTGTTTTATAATTTCCCTCTGCTAAATAATAGTTGATCATCTTGTGAAGTAAAACTTATGTTTACATCAGTTCCAAAATATCTCACCATTGCCAAGTTCCCATCCAGTTATTTTGTAACCTTTCTGTGAAGTATAGTCCATCAGTAGTTTGGCATTATCTGGTAGCCATTGTCCATTCTCTCTCAGTAATGAGTTTAGGTCAAAGATCAGACTCCAACCAACCTTTGTCACAAAATGATTCAGCTCATCCCATTGATTTGCTGAAAAAAATAAAGTGAAAATAAAATACAAGGACATGTTTTAAAGATGTAAGCAATTATATTAGGCTTGCAGTAAAAAAAAACAGATAATTATGCTTATGTAGACCAGTGACAAAATTTGTCAAAAAGCTATGCTACAAAAAATGAATATATATATATTCAAAACAATATCACAAATCAAAATCCTAAAATTTTAGAGGCTAGATGTAAACTGGTTTATTAGTTTTCAGGACTCCTAAAGACAATTCTCTTCCTATAAAAAGTTTCATTGTTCTTTATATAAAATTCTTTCCTTTTTAAAGTTATTAAGTACATGTATGGCCTAATAAGAAAATTTTAAATAAATACATATTTCCTAAATACGAAAAAAATAATATAAATAAAATCATCACAGATCTTCAAAAGAAAAAAGTTAACATTCTTCATTACTTACAAAACATCGTAAAATTAACAAATTTATTATCATAATAATCTGACATATACAGGCCACTTTGGTTGTAGAATCTGACATTGTGTGTGTCTGGTGAAAACTTCATAAAATCAGCCTCTGACCCTCCTACACGGAGATAACATGGAGACAAGGCTCTGGCTAAAGACTCTACCTTTGGTGAGCTACAAAAATTACATGTCACTGGTATTAAGCTCAGAAGAAAAAAAAATCTGATAAAACTTTTTCTGCGAAGGTCAGAATACTGTGGATTCATTTATTTTCATGTGTACCAATTAACATGTGTACCAATTTTCATGTGTATCAATTTTCATGGATCCGGGGAAGGACTATACAAGACTATATATTTTTGTACTATACCTATGTTGCTTTGGTTTATCTGTAGATCTGTATTTTTATAGTAAAACGGTCCATTGCAGCATTATATATTTTGTATCCAGTTTAACAGATCAGGCCAGAGAACTTTTGTATTGGCTGACATACTCTGAGTCCCTGGCACAAATATTTGACTACTTTCTTCAGTTGTTGTCATAAATAAATACCATAATCGATCATTTTTATGTAAAAAGACTTTGAACCTATATGCAAAGCAGCCTTGATGACTTATCTACATTCATCTTGTACATTTGTTGTAGGATTCAAACAGGTTTAAATATCTAACATGTAACAAAATTGGCACATAACTCACAATTATGTTTCTTTGCAGGATTTATACAGGTTCACACATCTAAAATCTATCAAGGTTGGAAACACTTTTCATCTAGAATATTTTCCTTGTTGAATTTATATATATATAAGTTTTATAACAGTTTGTAATACTTAGGAGCTTTATATTTGTCTGAAATAAAGTGAATGACTTACAAGCATGTTTTAATTAATTTTTCCAAAAGTCCAATCATATGTCTACTTGTTTGTTAATGTCCCTGATGATGCATACCCGAAATTCAAGTTTTCCCAGTTATGTCGGATGATACCAGTATCTATGGCAATACTCAGGTATTTATCTGAAACGATCTGAACAGCTCTGTCTGTGGCTATCTTCAGGTTGATGGCTTCAATTAATATTACAGCATTCAAAAAGGACAAAAGAATGAACTGTTTCCATCCAAATTCCATTCTTTTTTCCTGTTTTACGATCTTTAATTACTTATCCTGTAACGAAAAATATATGCAACTTGAATGAATTGCAGCGTTTCCTTCTGACCAAAATAGAAGAGCAATACCTTGATTTCCCTCAATAATAAGAATATATGTTGACATTATTGAAAGAAATTACATACAAAACTAGAATGATAATATCAGGCCTGAGACAGAGTTATGACACCACTAGAGACTAAATATGAAACATTCAGCTGCAGGTTGGGTCTCAGAACTGGAGATATTTTGAAACATTTTTAATCAATTTTTAGTTTAACTTTGTATGTGCATAATTATGTAAAGGTTTATTTCTTCCGACGATATTTTTTCCGGTGGAGAATTTGTCACAGTAAATTTTTTCCAGACATGGCATTTCACGGGTAGATTTTTTTCCAGAGGAGTGAAATTCTATCCACCTTATACCGATAGTATTTAATAGTAAATCTTTTCCATTCCATATTTTACAGAAGCTTGTGAAATACAATCCCATTGTCTACTATGTAAGGTACTTGCAATCTATATATACCTGACCATAATGATAAATGTGTCACCAAGGTAGAACATAGTTACATAATTTATCAATCAAAGGGAGGTAATTATGAGAAATTTTCATTTTATAGATGTTATATTTCAAAATCAATTTCATAGTGAAATTTTTCCTTTAATCTTAATATTTTATATTACTTAATAAGAAAAAGTGACAATTAATAAGACAGAAATTATTTCACAGGTAAATACTATCCAGCTGTTGACATTGTTTTTGTTCCTATATATTGTTGTGTTATGATTCATCTTCTTTTGTCACATTATCACCAACTACATAACAAATTAAACTGCACTTTTAATAAATGTACACATTAATAAAATTTAAAGTTTATTTGTACTGAAATCTGAAAATAACTCACTTTTACCAGTATTTCACTTGCCTTATTTTCTTATTGATCTTGATATTATTTCACAATTAAGATATGTGAAATTACTTCTGGTTTTGTTTCATATGTTTCATGATAATTGTCTTTTAAACATGTTAAAAGAATTATATTTACTTAAAAATTAATTCAGGATATTGTTTTTAATTATAATCCGTGAAATTATTTCCCATTATAATACATTTATTTGTTTTTTATTCACTAATTTAATTAGCTTATATTCAAATACACTATTATTCATGATTAGTCCATAGTATTTGCAAAGATTTAGTTTTTTTTATAAACAATTTAATATTTTCACTTCCAGGATAAAATGTCATGGTAATGGAAAATATCTCAGAATGAAATATTTTCCTGCGAAAAAAATCTTACGACATCATCTGTAACATTTTTTCCGTCGGATGATATTTCATCCTTAGAATTTTGCTTTACACATAGAGTGGGGCGCTAATTTTCGCCATAATTTTCCATGTTTTCTGCAGTTTATGTTCAGACCTTTAAGTTTTTGAAGTATACTGATATTTCTATATGAAGATAATGTAACAAAAAATTTGTTCTGGCATGACATTTGTTCTGCCGGAACAAATTTCATCATTGTTCATAGGAAATATGTTCCAACGGAATTTATATCACAGAAAATATGTTCCAGCACTGTAAAATTTGTTCCAGAACTAATTTTTTGGCCAAATGTGAAATAAGTTCCGGAACAAAAATCAGAGCTCCATGAATTTTGTTTCAATTAATATTAAAAAGTTTTAAATGAGTTCCTGTGACATTAGTTTTAAACGATCATGTAAATATTTCATAGAAACTAATGAAAAAGTTCTGCTCAATCATTATTGCACACAGAAACATTTTCTTGTTACAATTAAATTATAATGCAAGCTGAATGCTGTACTGAGTGTACTTGCATGGGATACATTTGCAATTGAAGGCATTTACTGTAACTATAGGATGAAGATAAGAAATAAAAGCGATGGTAATGTATCATAATTTGTATTTTTATGCTTTATGCGGTATTCCTCCTTGGTTCCTGTTAACTGTCTGATGGCCCCGTGTTCTAGTCATACATGTACTTAGGACATGGCACAGTTTCAAAAGAGTGTGTCTTTTTTTTCCTGCATGTCTTTTGATATTTATAAATGATCAAGTCACTTTGTCCTTTTCAAATTAGTACATATGTTCCTCTTAAACTATATTTTTTTTTCTGAATGATTTTTCTTATTCTAATCTTTTCTGGTTCGGTGCCTCGGTGGCCGAGTGGTCTAAGTAGTTACTACTGTAATCACTAGCCAGTCAACATAGAGGTTGTGAGTTCGAACCCCCGCTCGTGCGAGTGCACTCGACTCCAATCTTAATTGACTAGGATTGTCAGTTTTCCTATCGAAGGTCTGTGGTTTTCTCCGGGCACTCCGGCTTCCTCCACCAATAAAAACTGGCCGCCACGTTGCTTAAAAGTGGCGTTAAAACACCAAACTAGAGGCTCTCAAGAGCCTGTGTCGCTCACCTGATTCTACTTTGGTTTTGGAAATCATGTAAAAATAGATTAAAATCATAACAGATACCCTAATAATGAGTGAGGCCAAATTTGGTTTAATATTGGGCCTGTAATTTAATAAAAAAATCCTGGTGGCCATCTTGAACAGTAAATCGGCAACAAAGTAGCAACACTTCATCAGCACCTCATAAGAAACATTTATGCCATGTTTTGGTTTCATTCCATTCAGTGCACCTCTAGAAGAAGCATTTGTATGTATTTCTCATAGGGTCTTATGTTAAAGGAAGTCCCCCCATTGGCGGCCATCATGGATGAATGATCAGCTTCAAAGTAACAAAACTTAGTCAGCACCTCATAAGGAACACTCATGCCATGTTTGGTTTCAATCCATTCAGTATGTGGTTCTCTAAAAGAAGACATTTGTATGTATTTCCCATAGGGTCCTATGTTAAACTAAGTCCCCCGCTGGCGGCCATCTTGGATAATGGATCAGCTTCAAAGTAACAACACTTGGTCAGCACCTCATAAGGAACATTCATGCCATGTTTGGTTTCATTCCATTCAGTGGTTCTCTAAAAGAAGACATTTGTATGTATTTCCCATAGGGTCCTATGTTAAACTAAGTCCCCCCGCTAGCGGCCATCTTGGATGATGAATCCGCTACAAAGTAACAACACTTGGTCAGTACCTCATAAGGAACATTCATGCCATGTTTGGTTTCATTCCATTCAGTGGTTCTCTAGAAGAAGTTCAAAATGTAAAAAGTTAACGACGACGACGGACGACGAACGCCAAGTGATGAAAAAAGCTCACTTGGCCCTTCGGGCCAGGTGAGCTAAAAATCAAAATCAAATCTTTTCTGGTTCAGAAGTGTCATTTAGATATTTTTTACAGAGTATATATTTAAACATTTGCTATACTCCATAGGATCCAAACTGGATGATTTACACTTTTTATCTATTATATTATTATTAATATAATACTTATTTTTATAATGCACTTGAATGATAACTTTAAACTCACTGATGACAAATGCTCAGTATATAAGATAACTTGTTTAACCAGTCGAACATATTTCACAGACAAGGAACTTATTTCACCAGGTGAGGAACAAATCTCACAAACTCAGAACTTATTTCACCAGGTACATGAGGTAAGGAACAAATCTCATAAAACCCAGAACTTATTTCACTAGGTAAGGAACAAATTTCACCAACCCGGTACTTATTTAACCAGGTAAAGTGTGGAACTTATTTTATAGAGATGGAACAAATTATATAGAAATTACCTGTGAAAAAAGTTCTCCCAGAACATATTTCCTGTGATATAAATTCCACTGGAACTTTTTTCACAGGAACAAATTTTGGATCACATTAACATCAAAAGCAAAATATTCTTAGCTTGAAAACGTGTTTCTCTGAAAAAATTCATCTGAAAAGTTAGATTAAAGGCTATTAGAAATTTCCTGATGTTTTGTCATAGGGGGACACATATTCGCCGTTTTTACACATCTATTTAAAACCAAATAACTGCAGCTTTAAACAATATTTATCAAATCAATTTCATTATAGATGAATAGCAGACATTTTAAAGGTGTAAAGAACTGAAATTTAGGGCAATCAGTCAAAGAATTACTTCTTTGAAATCTTTTTTTCATTCAGGAAATTGGCCGAAAATCGTTGTCCGTTTTTCAGTCCTTTGCGGTACTTAAGTGCTGAAATTTTTTCTAAGTTTAAAAAATAATCATATTTGTTATAAAAATATAATTTACCAGCATATTTCTTACATTTCAGCAATCCTTTGAAGTTTTTACACCTCAAAATCATAAAACGGCGAAATTGTGTCCCCGTCGAATATGTGCGCCCCACTCTACTCCCCTTTTCTTAAATGATATTTTAGTTTTCACCTTGTAGAACCTGCGTGTGATAATTAATTGTTAAAAGGGAGAAGGATAGAACTTTTCGGGACGTCAGGATTGGGCCTTTATTCAGGAAAGAATACTTCATTTTTTTCAGGAATTCATGATGACACCCCCCACGGCCCTACTTGAATTAACAGATTATGCAAGTAACTATCAATCATTCATACTTATAATCAGCAAGGTGTTAGCCTTAACTTTCTTGTTAACTGAGATTACTATCACTATATTCTAGCTGTGTTACAGTTATCTCAGTTGTTAACCATGATAATAACCATGATAATTTTTCTATAAACAGGATAAATAAAGATTTAGATTTGCTTATAAAGATGGTGGTTTTAACATGACCCAATTACAATCAAGATAACGTGACAGTCACTTCTGGTTATTTTTCAAATTTGTCGAGATTCTACATTCTGTATCCATGGACTTGATGAACAAATGGAAGTTTTTAACGACCTTGACTGGCTATACAGCCCTTGCGGACTTGATGAGGAGGTGATGTTCAGTCTTTATATTTGACGATCATTACCTTTCAATACAGGGTCCATATTAGGCTAGGGGAATGAAACGAAGTGTAAAGGTTATCTAAGATAAATTTATATCAAATCAAATCAAATCAAATATTTTATTGTCGTATAAACTTTACAGTTTGGGACCAACATGTATTAACACAATAAACATATATACATACATATCAAACATACACAATAAAAACAGCATCAAAATTTATAAAAACAAACAAGCTGTTATTAAGAGTCCCCTGCCCTCAGTTCTAATGACTTTTTCAAGAAGGATCCTAACTTATTTGTTTGTAAAGGCGTTGATAGATTTAGTAAATAATGATTTTTTTCTTCTTCATTTAAATTATTAAAGTTACTATTTCATTACATATGTGTTCAAAAAAGGTATTTCTTAGTGTTTTATTATAATCACAATAGAGTGAAAAATGTTTCTCATCCTCTAGTATTTTACATTTATGACAAAGTCGTTCCTCTCTTGGGATTTTAAAATATCTCCCCTTTTCAATTAAGAGGGAGTGATCACTTAGTCTAAATTTAGTGATCAATCTCCTTATCTGAAAATTAGATATATTTAGATAAGATTCTAGTTTGCAATCTTTTTTAAGTTTTTTTATATAGATAAAATTTATTTTTATCATCAATGTTTTCAAATTTAGTTTCAATTAAATCTTCATATCTATTTTTCATTTTTAACTTTATATCGTTTTTTATTTTATTTACATCTTTTATGTCCTTACAAGTAGAAAGAATATTAAGGTCAATATTTGTCTCTTCAACAATATATTTTGCATATGTATACTATGAATAAGTTCCAGTCAAATCTAGAGACTGTGCTAGAGAAAAAGCTTCCGTTATCAATGGATTAATATTGTTATTATATAGTCTAGCTAAATATAAAAGGGTTTGTGTTTTAATAAAACATTCTATAGGCAATCTTCCCAATTCAACTCTTGCTCCTAAATTGGATGCATTTTTTCTTATTCCTAGAGTAGATTTACAAAATTTAAGATGCATATTTTCAATAGGGGTTTTGTCTATGAAAAGAAATATATGTATCCAAATATGTTACTTCTGAATTATAGGTCATAATTGGTTTTACTAAAGAATCAAAAAGATTATTTGCTACTTTTATAGGTAGATTTTTCAATGATTTAGTATAGGATTTTATTGCAAAAAATACTTTTTTGCCTTTTTTGTCAGCTCTAAAGTACTTTGTGATAAATTTCCATTACATTTTATCAACATTCCCAAAAATGAATATTCTGATACGCTCTCTATGACTTCATTATCATAGTAAATATGTGATGTTTCACCATTTTGTTTGGACTGACTGAAAATCATGGATTTTGTTTTATTTGTATTTAAAGAGAGTTGCCATTTGTTGCAATATAATTTAACATTATTTAAACTGTTTTGAAGACCTTCTTTCGATTCTGATAGGATCAAAAGATCATCCGCAAAAAGGAGGTATCCCACCTTACTATTTACAAGCTTAAGCGGACTTGAATCATTTCCTTCAAAATTTTTTACAATATCATTTATGAAGACATTAAATAAAGGGTGTCTCCTTGTTTAACCCCTCTAGCAATATTAAAAAAATTCTGAGACATAATCTTTGTATTTCAAAGAGGTTTTAGTATTTAAGTATTGTTGTTTTATAACTCTGTAAAAAAACCTGCCAACTCCCATTTTGCATAATTTATAAAGTAAAGCAGTTCTCCATACTGAATCAAAAGCCTTTTCAGATCTATAAAGCAGGCATAAATCTTTTTTTTTTTCTCTTTATGTAAATATTTATTAATCAAGGACTTCAATAAAAAGATGCTATCAGCTGTTCTGTGATTTTCTCTGAAACCAAACTGACAATCACTTAATTGTTTGTCAACAATCTTGATAACCTATTATTCAATATGGCATTAAAATTTTTTGGTAGATTACTTATAAGAGAAAAATAAGTTACAGCAAGGATCTTTGGTTACAGTGATCTATAGTCGGCATAATGATATGGATCAAAGGCTAGCTTTTTACGGAGTCCCTCACCAAAGGTTACTGTATGAATTACGATACTACGGCATAGACAATAATACTTTCAGAATTCTTAAAACAATTTTCTTCCTACCAAAACGTTTCATTGTTTTTTTTATATATAAAATGCGTTCCCTTTGCACTGGGACAAAAAGTCATTTTTATATGTAGTAGGTAATGTTTTTTTTTTAAGAAACGACATCCGATTGATTCCGCTTGAAATGTACAACCTGGGAACAGTATATCTAACTGTCAATATATATGTTCCTGGTACAACTAATAAAAAATAACACAAAGAAACTAAATTACTTTATTCTAATGAATCTTCAACATTAGAAAAACAAACTTTAACTCGTTTTTAGAAGAATTATTTGTATATAGAGGCTAATACGAACGTCGTTCAACTACAAAATGCACGATTAGCTTCCACGACTAGTACATTTAAACGCTTTATGGAAAACACAGTATATTAAAAAGTTTACCGAGAAGTTTGTGGTTTGCAGAAAATTAGTCACTGACTTTATCATATGTAAAATATGAGTCCTTTTGTCTGATTCCTCTGCATTTAAAGTATAAATAAACTTGAGTATTTCTGACGGTGCCACAAGTACAAGGAATGTACCACAAATGGCTATCAAGATGGCATTCATGTTACCTTTGCTTTTGCTTCTAGATGCTTTATATTGCAAAGAACTGCCATTTCTCTTTAGATGGCCAATGATTGGCTCAGTATTGCACCGTCTTATTATATGAGGCGTAGGATGTCTTTTGCCACATTTTTTAAAACCAGTTTTGCACGACCCGTCTGTATTCTTGCAGTCATCTTGTTTGAATGCTTCGTCTTTGTGATGGAAAGAATATGTTGAACCTGTGTGTGTTTTATGTTTCATTGAACAAGAGTTACGTTCTAGGGGTTTATCCGATTCGGTACATATTTTTCTACTAGACTTATCTGTAAAACTGCTGCTTCGACTCCAAAAGGCTAAGTCGGATTTGTTTGAATGTTTTGTTTTATTACACGATACATGAATATTACATGTTTCTAAGCTTATTTGTGAGGTGGAATTCGAGCGGATTTTTGTTGAAGTTGTATCAGAACTAATACTGCTATCGCTTTTTGACACTAATAAATACGGCCTTCTTTTCCTTTTTATCAAATGAATGCCTTTGTTTAAGAATAGCCGAGACTCCGTGCCTACACATTTACGAAGAGATGATTTACTTTGCATAATTTCAGATGGTTGGAGTCTAGCAAGAGAACACACACTTTCAATACTTGTTAATCGGATTCTACGCTTTTTCATTATGATTATCGTGAATATGATAGATATGTTGAAAAAAAACAAAGCAATGCATGGTATGAAGTCAAATATTATCGCCCATATTATCCGTCTGGTCGCTATATGTGTGTCGCTAACCCTTTGCTTCAGCTGATAATTTGTTGTTCCATTTTTGTGTAATATATCGATATCATGTTCGAATAAAAGGAACAAATTGGCAAAAACACAGAGGAAAAAGACAGTTAGTATGGCTACTTTGGTTTTCCTCAATGATATTATCCGTTTTGCTTTGAGTGGAAAACGCACCGCAAGATATCTCTCTCCTGACATAACAACAGTAAGCCAAGTGCTTGTTGATATGAAATATGTTATCAAACATGGTGCGAAAAAGTAGAAATATGTCATAAATAAATTAACTCGTTCAGGTAACAAAGTAAACATAGACACGAGTAAACAAAATAAGAGATTAGATGCTGACAGGAATATTAAACCTAAATTTGATGATCTTTCCATAACTTTTCCAGACTTCCGCACATGCAATGATATGAACACAACCAAGTTCAAAGCATTTCCAAGTGAGCCGATTATCGACATTAATGGTGCGCCAACTTCCATGAAATAAAAATTAATAACTGTCTGAAGTTCATAGTATACATCACTGTTCTTGCACGATGAAGTAGCGTTGAACTGAGATAGGTTAGATGATTGAATCATATCTGAAAAAAAAAATACAAATTGTTATCTAATCGTTTTTAAACGATAAAAATAAATCCAAAAAACCAGAATTTACTTTTCAATAGCAGCAATATTGAATCTTCTTGGGTTTTTTTTTAATTCTTCTTACCTGCATAAAACTGTCGGATCCTTAAAATGATTATATGTCTGATTTTTCTTATATACATACAAATTAATAACAAATTCGTTTTGTCCAATCATATTGTCTTATCGATAAATGTGATTTTAAAGATCATGTGCCAATGACATTTGTTTTACCCAGCTCATGTATAGAAGAACGACAGTAGTGGACACGTCACCTTCTGTAGAATAGGTGTTTAAGTGATGAAGAAGGAGAGCAAGTATGAACATGATGACGGAATGCAAATTGAAAAGAATATCTATTACTTAATCAATGTGTAGCATCACCACCGTATATAGGTACTCCGAAGCAAAGACATAATAGCAAAAGGTATATATTTTATTGGGACAAGCACATACAGAATTAGTCCAATTAATTATGACGTCTTGAAAGGCTATTTTAATTTTTTTCTGTGACGCCTTCGAAGTCCTAATAGTCCTTCAAGACGTCATGATTATTTGGACTAATACAGAATGTTGCGGGGTTAAACTAATTTAATGGCGCCAAACCCTCCACTTACCTGGGACAGTAGTGTAACAGTACAACATAAGAATGTTCCCTATATTTCGTATTCCTCCTATTTAAAAAAAAAACCCAAAATATTCACCAATGACGTCCTTTTGGATAAAGCATAAAATAAACTACTGTCCTGTGATTCATCTACCGTTGAAGAGATTTTGATGAAATCTCAAGGTAACATGCACAAGCTGAATTACCAAATAATATGTTGAAAAATATTCTTCTCGGTATGCAAGTATAAACCTCACAGGAACATCGCCGTCCAGAACGGGAAGTTTTAAGCAACATGTGAAGCAGGATAGGCTTACATTCTAGAACACC